CACACAGAAGCTGTATACATTTTTTGGGAGTTTGATTTATTTTTAAATGAACACAAATACAAAATGAAAACCTATAATTGCACACTAAAACCATTATTTCAAAAAAAGAACTATTTCACATAAACCTCTGTTTTTTTACAGAGGGCTGGGGCAGTTCGACTTGATTTGGGGGGGCGGGCCATAGTTTATGGGCGCTGTACGCAATATAGGCGTAGTTCTATTAGTATAAGATAAGATGTACTTTGTTGATCCAAAACCGGGAAATTGTGTTGTTATGAAAAAAAAATTTAAATCGGCGCCCCCGATGGATTGATGCACCCTGACAACAACCAATGAGAAGATGGGCTTTAAGCGCCACAGGCAGAGTGCCACATTCCGTTATACTGGAGAGCAAGCAGACATCTCTACAGATGATACTGTATCTCCATCCCTCTACAACTCATACTAAAAAAAATCTAGAATCATGAAAAGCACTTCAAGTCCTTGTCCTGTAAACCGAGGTATCAGAAATATACACGTTGACCTTGATGAAAGAGGAAAAATGAAACAATATATACCTTTTCTAGTCTCACTCACCAAATGTTGTTGTGTTTTGTCAAATGTCATGCTGTTCGATCCTCAGGTCATACTTAAGGGATTTGTTTTGAAAGTAAGAAATACCTTCAAGACTGTAGTTGGTCATCTTCAAAAAGGACTCTTTAAATCCTGTCTAGTTCTTTATTTATTTTTACTAAGAATAATGGATGTTTCATTGATAAAATGCCTTTTCAGTCCTTAGTATTGCTCTCACATCGACCAGGCCCTGCGATGAGTAAGACTAACATGACAACAAGTGGTTAAACTTAGCTCGTTTGTCTTCGCTTAGCGGTCATTAAAGTGTAACACAGATTTGAACAGCAATGCCTTTCCTTGAATGAGTAACAGTGAGTCAATCACGCCTCATGTTTACCTCCATTCACTCATAAACATGTGACTACTGCTTATAAAACAGCAGCTGCATACTGTGAGAGGAGCTAAGACGGGCAGGGAGTGACAGTGTGGAGAACAACAACATCACATCTTTTTGAATATTTAATAGAATCAAATGTCTTGACCTATTCAGGGATCCCAGGGTGCAGTTCTACTGTGTTCGCTCAGGTCCACCCGTTGCCTTTTCAATTCAAGATAGCAGCACAAACAGAACTAAGAATAAACTGTACCATCAATTAACAATACATGTGCATGGTTTCATAGTCAATTGTTTATTTATGGCACAAAATAATTATGACCTCACTTCACAATTGTGACCCGACCTCACATTATCTGCTGTAATATTATATATCCTAAGGTAAAGACTGTTATACAGAACAATACAGTATAGGTAAGGTACTAAAATATTCCTACATAAGATTATAGTGACTATATATAATTTAGTTTATCTATATTGTATAGATCGATATTGATCTATCAATTTTATTCTTTTGATAATGCTTTGATAATGTAAATGTTTTTAGTGGTGGAAGAACCCAGATCCTTCATATTCGTAAAAGTAGCTTCAATATTGAAAACATGTCCCCATTAGTGGTAGGCTAATGTTCTATTCAAATTAATGCATGCATAATGTGTGTCATAAGAAATCAGATGAATTCCCTCCGGGTTTTCCTGATTACCAAGGACTGTACACATGTCAAGTCACAGTGACCTTTAATCCCAAAAATCGAATACATTCAATCTAGAGTTGTGGGGAAATGTAGGCCTAATCTAGAGTGATTCCCTTCACGTGTCCTGAGATTTTGAGTTCATGAGCACAGGAAAAACTTACAAACAAGAACATAAGTTTGGAAAGAAAATACGTAAGGACAACCCTCAACTATAATGTCAAAGCACGAAAACAACAACAGACATGGCAAAATACAGCATACTTATATCTTTATTCCTTAACGTGATTTTGTGATTTTTATGCACAGCTTTCAAGAAATATGAATACTTTGGCTTGAGCCTCTGACCAGCATAACGTCCATATAACAGCCTTAGGTGAGTATGCAGGCCAGAGTGAATAAAGCAACACAAACATACAGACAGCACAATACATTAGATCTCAGTGAATACATTGAGAGAGATTGATCATTGATATAGTTGATGATAGTGACACTGATGGTGACTAATGCTGGGCCTGAGAGTGAAGTGAGTGAGGGCAATAAACAGCAACATCTTAATAGAAGGAGAAAGGGTCATCAATTTCACATCCAGCATCACCATGACCCCCCCCCTGTCTATCAATGTTAATCAGTGTTTAATCAACCTTTTTTCACATAACAGCAGCAAATGATTCCACTCAAAGTTGGACACTGTTCTGTGAATGTTAACAAATTGAGGATATCCTGTGGATTTTTTAAAACAAACAAAATTTAAATTTAAATGTATTTTTCCTCATAAAAAACACAATGTTCACCCTTGAGTACTAACAAGCATGTTAAACACATTTCCTTCCCCATGAAACATTTGATTTTGATCATAACCTGTTTCGTCATTTCAGTTGTAAAAATATGTAGGAAAAAAACAGAGCCTGTACCGTTTAATTTAAAAGTTACAGCCTGGAATATTTCCATTGAAATCGATATCAATATCTTTAGCCAAAGGAGTTAAATGGTGATGGGGCCTATAGCTCGCTATAGAATGGCCTTTCATTTGCACTGGGTGTCTGTTCATAACATTCATATGAAAAATCAATAGTCATACAGTTTGGATCACACATCTACAATTATGGCTTATCACCAAATAGAACACATTGGAGATCTTTTTGTACTAACTTGTCTGGCTTTCACGACTGCTACATTTCACGAGTCATCAACCTCTTCCAAAAGGCAGTCAACTAGTCCATAAAAAGAGATACATCACATTTCTTTCACCCAATAACAATAATCAATTCTTATCAAAAAGGTCTAAAATGGAACAAGTAAAGGGCTGCAGTATTGTAGGCTCTTGTTCTCCTGTTGACACATATTCTATATTGTTTCAAGTTGTTTCACCAACTCTTTTATGGTTTACATAAGATGTAAAGGTTGATTCATGAATGTTAGGTTAGAGGAAGTATTTTCCACTGAAAATAAGATATTAAAAATACATTTGGTTTTCACAGCTCAGTTTTGTTTGACCAATGCAGGACAATATGTTTTAAAGGAACATAAAAAACACTGAACATGTCATATAATCAAATGGAGATTAATATAATTATTATTTTGACGTTTAGTGCATCTGAAGTTGTCCGATTTTCCTAAATATAGTATTTAAGTGAATGTTGCTGCAGAAGGCACTCTTTGCAGCTAAATTGTGATTACGGACAGAAAGAAAAAGATACAGTTTGAAGGCCGAGAGGACTGCAGAGAGCCAAAAGATAAACGGGTTCCCAAAACATTTAGCGCCAATTTTCTATGATCTGCTTCAATAGTGATCTAGGGACACTTTTCTGGAATTAAAAAACTAACTCCAAGTTATACAATATTTCACCCTATAATGCAACACTATGGGGACATGGAATAGTGAATCATTTTTTTCCCTTCATTTTTCAAAACAGCTTCAATACATTTGGTGTCTGAATAGGCGCTTTCACACCGCAGTACTTTTGCCACAAAGGTTCATCAGAACTTAGTTCATGAGAACTCTTTAGTTCTCATGAACTAAGTACAGATCGCGTTCACACCGGAATAAGTCCCTGGGGGAGGTTTAGGCAAATTAGCTGCTGGGACTCCCAGCTCACCTCCACCGCTCCCATGTTTTCATTTGTGTTGCCATAAGTTAGTCTGTCTGCGTTTGTAAGCTGTACTAATGCTAATAATGCTAGTGCGAGGATAATAAAATGGCTGCTTCACAAAACTTTTTGGGAGTTTCACGGGGCGTGGTTTGCATTCCGCCCAGCCAATCAGACATAGAAACCTTTTTCTCCCACGAAAGTACCTGCTCTCTAGCAGGGACGGAAAAGGGGGTAAAAAGGTTCTGATTAACTAATTTTAGTTCCGGATTTTTTTGGTGTGAATGCGACATTTCGGAACTATATCGGAACTAAAATGGGAAAAGTACTGCGGTGTGAAAGCGCATATCGATTATGTTTATATCTCTGTAGAGTAGCCATTATTGATATAAGGAACGAAAACACAATGTAACAGTTGATTACACACTTCCATAGTGTTTAAAAGGTTAAATCAGTAACACATGATAAGCATCATATTATAAATATTAGCGTAGTTCGATTGCACCTTTGTTTACATTCACAAGTGAATTTCCCTCTTCAGAAATGGAAGCTTAATGTCAGGCTGAGTCTGTAGGGATTGCAGTATATTGCTAAAGAACAAACATCACGTAACTCTTCAGCGTCTGTGGAGGGAATGTGATGTTCGTGAAAAAAGGCAGCTTATTAGCCTCATGCTAAATCTGAGCGACTCAATGAAATGATTGCCACGTCGCTCTGACACATGGTCCAGGACGGTTGAGTCGACTGAAACTGGAGGATAAATATGCGACTATATGTTTAATGCAACTTACATTCAGATCTGTGAGCAGAAGGACACTTGTAGAGTTATACTTGGCACATGCTCAATGTTTTGAACCCAACATCTCTTCATCCTATCCTCGTCTCCTCAGCCTGCAGCAGATCTAGGTGCTGGTCCCCAAAACGGAAGATATACCTGAGCCGGGGCACCACATTCCAGTAAATATGCACTAACCTGCGGCTAAGAGGAGCTTGAAACAGAGGCATATTGCTTGAAATATTTCAATACAGCAGCAGGACAGTGTGTTCTGGTCTCTCTGCACTGACCACAGTGTGACAGCTGCTGCTCTCTGCTGAGAGCCTTCTCTCTTCAGGGTACAGAGCAGGTAGAGGTGCGCTGCATTCACAAGTCTTGCAGATGAGAGCATCAGCATCCTGCTCCACAGATCCCGTTGGTCCTGTCCTGGATGACTCCAGCCTTCACCAGCTTCAGCAGGAACTCCTTCTCTTTCGATATGTTGTGAGTCCAGGACTACAGAGAAGACAGAGACACAGGACAGGAGCTAGTTGGTGGACAACACTCAACAGGCTACCTTCTAAATGTCTCACTCTTTAAAACAACATTTTATTAAAATAAATACAATTTCCACTTTCAATAAACCAAGCACAAGTGTTACACAAGGGTTGTGTATCAATGAGCATTGATACACATATTTTTGAGTTTTGTTCACATCCGTAAAAAAGCCAATAACTATGGTGGCCGTCAGGTGCAAATTCGCTACAATGGCCCAAAACATTCCCATTGGATGAAACGCGCTGCAGCTTAAAAAATAATGCAAATATAGAATCACAAATGTGCCAAAACACATGGAAATGAAGAATCATCTTCACCAACTTGGCAACAAATTCACTTACTTGACTAACTATGTGCAGCGTTTACTAAAAGTGCTCCTTTAGCAAAATGCTGCAAATACAAAACACTGCAAACTAAAAAAAATGCCCATATTGCTGGAACCGGTTTTGGGATTATAAAGTTTGCCAACTGTAACTCTTGATGGAAACAGTGTATTATTAATTCCAATATGATTGCAGATCTGCTAGTAGCTAGCTTTCTAAACCAGTTAACCTAGTTCGGAAGGAATGATGAGATCACATTGTTATAATAAGCCAATCAAACTTACATTTTAGGAAACTTTCCACCAACAGTGACTGTTGGCCATCTTTATAATCCCTGAACCTCAAGAAACACTCTTGTTTCTCCTAATGGAAATGTTTTGGCCCGTTGGCAATTGTCGGCCACCGTAGATAACCCTTATTTAGAAAGGGAAAATAAGTAAAGCTATTTAATGCCGCTTACTTTTGCTCAGCTTGTTTCTCTGATAACTTAAGATCCATGAATAAAATCCTTCATCCATTTCAAATGTAGAGTTAAAAGATCTAAAAGTGTGTGGTTCAAATACTGACACATTCTCAAGGGCATATGTCATCATACATCTGACAGACCTCTCTGGGTTTGAAAATTGTTGAAAACATTTGGGATAATGTAAAAACACAAAACTGTTTAGGATCATCCTATACTCCTGCTGCGTACTGTCATGGGATGACAAAAAGCTATCTCCACCAGCTAACACTCGATCTTTGTGGATACGTTATCTGGATAATGACATCTGATCACAGGTCCTAAGGTATACACCGGGCCCTAATACTGTAAGAGAACACTTACAGTCTCCGTTCTCCTCGCATTGTGATCACATCTCGGTATGGTGAGGGTCTTGTGACAGCCAGAGACAGCCGAAGGCATCTGCTTTAAGGGACCTAGGCTAATATTTCTTATACTGTAAAAAAAGTAACAATAAATTGTCTGTTTTGTCAGCAAAACATAAAAAACATGCTTGTTTGGCAAAGCTTTAAACATTTACGTTATATTTGAAATTGTGTTTTTTTATTCTGATTTCAATTAAGGCTGTGAATGAATATGAAAAACATTCACACACACACACACACACACACACACACACACACACACACACACACACACACACACACACACACACACACACACA